CGGCTGCGGGCCTGCCCCGCCATCGCTCACCAGGGCATCGCTGCTCTTGCCGCCCCGGTGAACTGGGTTTTCCTGAGCCGCGTTGGCTCTGCTGAGGCCCACGCGTCATTAGCCGTGGCCATTGCGCCTGCTAACGAGGGACTCAGCCACCATTCACTCCCATTGGGATCAAGGACTCAACCATCATTGAGGAAATGCTGGGTCATTGCATTCCCATTGGGATGAGGGCCTTGGCCACCAAGGAGGAGATGCTGGGTCACTGCATTCCCATTGGGACCAGCGACTCAACCACCATGGAGAAGATGCTGGGTCATTTCACTCCCATTGGGATCCTGGACTCAACCACCATTGAGGAGATGCTGGGTCATTGCATTCCCATTGGGACCAGGGACTCAACCACCGCAGAGGAGATGCTGGGTCATTTCACTCCCGTTGGGATCAGGGACTCAACCACCGCAGAGGAGATGCTGGGTCATTGCATTCCCATTGGGACCAGGGACTCAACCACCATGGAGAAGATGCTGGGTCATTTCACTCCCATTGGGATCCTGGACTCAACCACCATTGAGGAGATGCTGGGTCATTGCATTCCCATTGGGACCAGGGACTCAACCACCATGGAGAAGATGCTGGGTCATTTCACTCCCATTGGGATCCTGGACTCAACCACCATTGAGGAGATGCTGGGTCATTGCATTCCCATTGGGACCAGGGACTCAACCACCGCAGAGGAGATGCTGGGTCATTTCACTCCCGTTGGGATCAGGGACTCAACCACCGCAGAGGAGATGCTGGGTCATTGCATTCCCATTGGGACCAGGGACTCAACCACCACAGAGGAGATGCTGGGTCGTTTCATTCCCGTTGGGATGAGGGACTCAGACACCACGAAGGAGACGCTGGGTCATTCCATTCCCGTTGGGATCAGGGACTCAACCACCATTGAGGAGATGCTGGGGCCTTCTGTTCCCGTTGGGATCGCCACCATTGAGGAGATGCTGGGTCATTCCATTCCCGTTGGGATCAGGGACTTGGCCACCGCAGAGGAGATGCTGGATTGTTTCATTCCCATTGGGCTGACCTGGTTTTTCCATGGCTGCTCCCCGCTGGAGCCCAGAACGCCTGGTGCCCTCGTGTGACAGGGCGCTGAGGGTGAGATGCTCCGGGAGGAGGTGGACACATGTGTTGTGTCCCAACACATGGCCTGGAGAGATAGAGGGTTTGCCGGGGGAACCATGGCTGTGCTTCCCACCACGCTGCTTTTTATTTCCACGCCGTCGGTTGGTGTCTCATGGGCATGCGTGGCTGGTGCCGGACCGCGGTGGTCCCGGTGCCAAAACCCCCGTGGAGAGCACGGTGCGGTCCAGGCTCACACCACGGACCGGGATGGGCGAAACGGGGAGAGCGAAGGGTGTTTGGGCACCAGCAGCCCCGTCCTCGCACCGAGAGCTCCCTGCGCCGGGCCCGTGGCAGCCGCGGAGTGCCTGATGCCGGTTTGTTTTTAATACTTAATGAAAAAAAAGGTTGGAATGGCTTTTAAGGCTTAAATTGCCTTTGCCCTTTTTATCTTGAAAAAACATGACAAGCACTTTTGGAGGGTATTTTTTTTAAAAGTTTGTTATAATGATTCCTGGTAGCTATTATGTTGGGAATAAAGCTCTTTCAAAGACTGTTGGGATGCATTAAATGTTTCATTTTTCAGTCTCCGTTTCTTTGTTTTTGATCTCCGTTCAGATTGATTAAAGACACTGACTGCTCAATTTTGATTAAATCCTAAATCATAACTGGCTTACAAAACAACTGTGAAAGCTGACATTTATGAAGTTCACTAAACTAGTTGTAAGAACAGGAGTGCGAGATGGAAAAAAATAATAAAGTTCCTTTCCAAACAAACATCGGTTGACAGCAAACAGATGGTTAGAGGCTCTTACTTGTAAACTGGAAAAATTAAGATTTGGCAGGTTCTGTTAAAAAATAGCTACAAAACATCTTAAAGTTTTCCCCTTCATATCCTGGTGTTGCTCTGGGCATCGTTTCAATATTTTCATAGGCTACTGCACGGAAAAGATTCTGAATACATGAAAGCAGCTGGTATAAAAGGGCTTAGAAATACTGGTTAAGATTTATAGGAAGCAAGGTTGCCAGCATCCCAAAGACGTGGTATTTAAAACCCGGCCTCTCAGCCCGCCAATAAATCACCGTAACTTAGCAGTGTAGCTGGAGTTTCATCTCCAAAGGTGCAAGAAAAGTGGGTAAAATGTAACCTTGGTAGATTTTTCCATATTTGTTGACTTACCCCGTGATAATGTTAAGCTCATGTTTTTGGGCAAAGCACAGCCGCACAAAATTAAGCCTCTCGCTGGCACAGGTTCCCCCACAGGAGGGGAATTCAGCCAGGGACCTGCTTCTTGCAGACAAACCTTTCGTCCTCCTCCTCCGAGCCGCGAGGGAAAAAAGGTGGAGGGAAACACAAGCAGAACGCCTCAAACCCCGCAGGGGTGCAGCTGGGGGGAAGCGGTGTGCCAAGACCCTTTGCTGGTGAGTTTGGCAGCGTGATCTAAACCTGCTGGTGGTTTTGGCCATTGAAATATCCCATGGCCATTGCAATATCCCACGACAGTGTGCAGCTATTGCAATATCCCGTGGCCATTGCAATATCCCGTGGCAGCTCGTGGCCATTGCAATATCCCATGACAGTGTGCAGCTATTGCAATGTCCCATGGCCATTGCGATATCCCATGGCCATTGCAATATCCCATGACAGCTCGTGGCCATTGGAATATCCCATGGCCATTGCAATATCCCATGACAGCTCGTGGCCATTGGAATATCCCATGGCCATTGCAATATCCCATGGCCATTGCAGTCTCCCATGACATTGTGCAGCTATTGCAATGTTCCGTGGCCATTGCAATATCCCATGGCCACTGCAATATCCCGTGGCCATTGCAATATCCCATGGCCACTGCAATATCCCGTGGCCATTGCAATATCCCATGGCCACTGCAATATCCCGTGGCCATTGCAATATCCCGTGGCCATTGCAATATCCCATGACAGCACATGGCCATTGCAATATCCCATGACCGTTGCAATATCCCATGACAGCTCGTGGCCATTGCAATATCCCATGGCCATTGCAGTCTCCCGTGGCATTGCCCAGCCATGGCAATATCCTGTGGCCATGGCCATATCCCATGGCCGTTGCAGTCTCCCGTGGCCGTTGCAGTCTCCCGTGGCAGTGTGTACCGCTGCTTAGCGGGGATGCAGCACCCACCAAACCCCCCTGCACACCCTGCACCTGCAGCAGCCCTCTGAGTGTGCACGGCAGGGGTCGTGGGTGCTCAGGTCAGGGTGCTCGTCTCCTGCTCCGGGTGCTCCCGTGGACGTGGCAGGGGTGCGTTGCTGCCCTGCGTGCTGTCCTGCTTGCACGCTGTGGCAGTGTGTACCGCTGCTTAGCGGGGATGCAGCACCCACCAAACCCCCCTGCACACCCTGCACCTGCAGCAGCCCTCTGAGTGTGCACGGCAGGTGTCGTGGGTGCTCAGGTCAGGGTGCTCGTCTCCTGCTCCGGGTGCTCCCGTGGACGTGGCAGGGGTGCGTTGCTGCCCTGCGTGCTGTCCTGCTTGCACGCCCCATGGCTGCTCTTGCTCAAGCCGAGGGATGGCGATGGGGCTGGGCAGGGCAGCTCTCCTGCTCTGCCCCAGCTC